GGAATAAGTCCTTGAATCAATCAATTGGGCCGGGTACAATCCATCCTAATCTCGCCCTGGGTCCCGGTGAGCACCCCGACCCGACCCAGCCGGGTCATGGCCTGGGCGAACGCCCCGAAAAACGCCCCGTTGCTGGCAGCGAAGGTGTTGACGGTGGCCCGGGTCCGGTTGTCCGTGAATAGCACCTCGTCGGAGCTGAAGAGGCCCCGACCCGACTGGAGATTCCGGAAGTAGGCGTTGTCGAAGGTGTTGGGGGTGGTCGGGTCCATGTTGATCGCGACCCGCGGGTCGACGTTGACCGGGCACATCTGCCGCAGCTGCGCGGCGTACTGCGGGTTCAGGGTCGGGTCGGTCCTGCTCGCCGGGAAGATTCGGTTCGAGAACCGGCTGCAGTGGGAGAAGCCCAATGTGTGCGCGCCTGGAAAATTTTGGGGGGAGGGATTTGGTATTTTAGGATAGTTAGAGGACTAATTTGCAAACCGTGCGTACTTTTTAGGATCAATATTGGTATTGGTATTATTATCAGTGGCTGTAATACAATCACCTATTTATTTTTATTTTTTTATTTTTTTTTTGATTGTTAAATCAACACACATCTATAATGTATTAATCTAATTAAAAAAAATCGGTGACTTCATGAATGCTACTTGGTAGTGCAGTGTAACTTTCGACTGGACCAAGGCTACTTATAGCCTAACTAATAGCAAGAAATTCATATATACTTTTTCAAACGAAATGTATGTTCTTTAATTAAATTTTATAAATTAAAAAAAATATAAATTAAAAGTATGACATTTCATAACAATGTAAGTATGTATTTTGTTAGAAATATATAACAGGTCAACCAACTACAAATATATGACGGATCGGTCCACATATCAGTTAATCGACTCACACAAGAATATGGTGTTTTTCAAGNTTTGTGATCATTGAATATTGCAATCTACACTTATGTATCATGTTATCAAAAGGTACTTAATTACATCTAAAAAATAGGATTAAATTCATAATTATTACATAATTAAAGGCTAATACTCTAGGTTACTTGGGAAACTTTGCTAATATACTGGTGAAGGTTTTGACTTCTCTGCACTCACATGTGGCCAGGTGAGAAGAAATCCAAGGAATAGGTATTAGGTATATATTTATTCCCAAATTCTCCTGCGCCTCAATTTAATCGTTAAATGAATCGATCCGTCATATATTTATAACAAAAAAAACCGCATATTTATATGCTATAAAATTCTATACTTTTGTTTATATTGTTTTTTAGAGGATGACGTGTCTGCTTCAAACTATGTAAAATTATTAAAAAAATGTGACTAATTGTTCGTTTGCTTAAGTTAATGGCAACTTAGTGATATTTATAATTAACTATATACCTATATATAGAGGGAGAAATTAAATTTGAATAAACTAATTTGAGTTGTGTTCGTCTCAATATGTACCTGATAAAGCAACCAAATCAGTGATGGTGAGACCATTTCTAGAAAACATGGTACTAAGCTGGTCCAAATTGAAGCCTGGCCCTGGAAGCCTTCGCTGGACGCTTGCCGCAGTCGAAATTCTCCCGTCTCGTCTTCCTAGTTCGACTGTGTAAGACGGTCCTCCAGTCTACGAACAAGTTTTTTTCGTATTAAAAGACATTTTTTTTAAAGGATGATTCGACTTGTACTTAGTGATGATCATGAGCTAGATAAGATATTGTTGTTGGAAAAATTACAATTTTAGTCCACTAATCTATGTTGTTTTCCATTTTGACTTACTGGAATTCGAAATTGATCTAATAACGGGCTAAAGTATAAGAGTTATTGGACAAATTTGGACCAAATAACTACAAGATTCCGGCATTTGGGATAAAAATTGAACCAAGTTGGCTAAAATTGAAGAGTTATTGAACTAATTTCAGACACGAGTAAGTTACTAGACAAAAATGGAAAACACCAAGGATCAAAACTGCAATTTCCTAGTCTTTTATATGTTTTGTATATTTGTTTACCATGTTGACAACATCCCTAGTGGCCAATGCTAATATATCGGCACACGAAACCCGATTCCGACACCTCGGGTCGTTGTCCACGGCCGCCTTTGCCCTAACCACCGTGTCGAAACCATCTCCGGCTAACGAGAGGTTGTCTGGATGGTCCTTCTCTGCTTGACCGTTGGGCGACGCTAGCATAATCGACGCGTCACATCCCTAGAGCCACTCGAAAG